GGAAGGAAGGAAGGAAGGAAGGAAGGAAGGAAGGACGGACTGTGGGGTCCTTGGTGCTCTCTGAGCTTGGTGGTTTTCTTGGAGACATTTCGTGACCCAACTAGGTGACATCATCAGTGCTAGAAGGAAGGAAGGAAGGAAGGAAGGAAGGAAGGAAGGAAGGAAGGAAGGAAGGAAGGAAGGAAGGAAGGAAGGAAGGAAGGAAGGAAGGAAGGAAGGAAGGAAGGACTGTGGGTTCCTTGGTGCTCTCTGAGCTTGGTGGTTTTCTTGCACATGTTTCATGACCCAAGTAGGTGACAACATCAGTGCTAGAAGGGAGGGTCTTCTCAGTAGTCTCCTCCAACCTCAAAGGTCAAACTCCTCCATCTTCTTTCTCTCCTGCTTCTTCAGAGTCCAACATTCACTTCCATTGTTGTTGTTAGTTGCGAAGTCGTGTCTGACCCATCGCGACCCCATGGACAACGTTCCTCCAGGCCTTCCTGTCCTCTACATCTTCTGGAGTCCATTGAAGCTCACGCCTACTGCTTCAGGGACTCCATCCAGCCCCCTCCTTCTCCGTCGTCCCCTTCTTCTCTTGCCCTCCATCTTTCCCAGCATCAGGCTCTTCCCCAGGGAGTCCTTCTTTCTCATTAGGTGGCCAAAGTCCTTGAGTTTCCACTTCAGGATCTGGTCTTCTAAAGAGCAATCGGGGTTGATCTCCTCTAGGACCGACCGGTTGGATCGCCTTGCAGTCCAGGGGACTCACAGGCATCCCAAAGTAGACTGCACAGAACAGCTTGTCTTGTTCTGATCTTTGGTGGCACGGAGACTTTTGGGTATCTGTGCATCTTCTCCAAGAAGCTTCTCCAAGCATCTTCTTCAGAACTCTTCTGTCAAGCCCTAGTCTGTAGCCAGCTTCTGCCATCTCCCCGCTGTCGATTCTAACCCTGGTTGTCTTTGCCTACCCTTCGATCAGCAGTTTATGAGGCAGGACCATCTTTCTCCAGTCCATCTGAAATGGATGAAGCAAGAAGAGACGCTCGGGCCTCCAAGGCGCGCCGCTTTTGAGACGGAAGAGAGAAAGAATTGGGGGGAAAAACCCCGTTTTTTTCTTTCATCCTTCTTCTTAGTAAACCACCACAATACTTCCCCTCTTCACTCAAGACAAGGAAAAGTGACTTGGGCCAGGATGGTCCTACTTACCACATGGGCAGGAACTTCTTCAGCATCGCCGTGAGGGCCAGGAGAAGCAACGCCACTCCGATAATCGAACCCAGCATCAAGGTTTTTTTCGATTCTGGAAGAGAGCAGCAAAAACAGGTGAGCTTCTGACCTCTTGGGAGACCTCAGGACCAAATTACAGGTAGAAGCACCAGCAGGCTCCATGGATTGATCTTCTGGGTCAGGGGTAGGCCACCTTGGCCCTTTTATGACTCGTGGACTTCAACTCCCAGAATTCCTGAGCCATCATGGGGGAACTATGGCCCCTTCATGACTCGTGGACTTCAACTCCCAGAATTCCTCACTCAGTATGGGGGAACTATGGCCCCTTCATGACTGGTGAACTTCAACTCCCAGAATTCCTGAGCCAGCATGGGGGAACTATGGCCTCTTCATGACTGGTGAACTTCAACTCCCAGAATTCCTGAGCCAGCATGGCTCAGCTTGGAAACCTCTCCCTTTCCCCTCAGCGTGGCTGGCTCAGGAATTCTGGGAGTTGAAGTCCACGAGTCATAAAAGAGCCAAGGTTGCCTAACCCTGGCCTAGGCCTAGGCCGCTTTATGACTCATGGACTTCAACTCCCAGAATTCCTGAGCCAGCATGAGGGAAACTTTGGCCCCTTCATGACTCGGGGACTTCAACTCCCAGAATTCCTGAGCCAGCATGGGGGAACTTTGGCCCCTTCATGACTCGTGGACTTCAACTCCCAGAATTCCTGAGCCAGCATGGGGGAACTTTGGCCCCTTCATGACTCGTGGACTTCAACTCCCAGAATTCCTGAGCCAGCATGGCTCAGCTTGGAAACCTCTCTCTTTTCCCTCAGCATGGCTGGCTCAGGAATTCTGGGAGTTGAAGTCCACCAGTCATAAAAGAGCCAAGGTTGCCTATCCCTGTTCTGGGTCATCCCCAGTCTGCTCCCCTCTTGATACTTGGACCGCAATTCCCCAAATTCTCAGCAAATAGCCATTACGGATAGTCCTCAGCTTACAAGCAACGGCAGCTTCAGCGCCGGTGTAACTCTGAACAGTCACTAAATGAACCATTGTAAGCCGAGGACTTACCTGTCTACTGTTATAGACAGACTGGCAAACACGGTAGGAGAGGTCACGACGACAAGGGTCCACTTCTCGTATTTCTTTACAAAATTCTAACAATTATAAATATAGCGAGAAAACCTGAAGCTATGATGATATAAACTTACAGCGGTTCGTTTAGTGACTGTTCAAATGTACACCGGCACTGAAAAAAAAGTGATTTATGAGCTTTTCACACTTAGGACCGTCGTGGCATCTCCAGAGCCAACTGACTTGTATTTATGACGGGGTTGCAGCGTCCCGGGGGGTTCCACGGGATCCCCTTCTGCGACCTTCTGATGAGCAAAGTCAATGGGGGAAGCCACTTAACGACCGTGTGACTGCCTTAACGACGGCAGCGATTCAGCTAGCCACTGTATCAACTGTAGTCGTAGGTTGAGGACTACCTGTCATGTTGTTCCAGAGGTCCGTCCTTGAGATGAATGGTGGGGAAGCCAAGGAGGAGAAAAAGAACTGGGGGTTCTGGGGTACTTACTGACGCGCTCAGGAGCCGGGCCGCTGTCGACACTTCCTCCGAAACCGCGGCCGCTGCAGTGAGGGGGGGCCCATCCGTAGCTGCAGTGGCAGTTCGTTTTGCTGTTGCAGACCTGAAATGGATCAAGTGGGTGAGCAGCCAAGAACGGTCTTTTCCCTTTTCTGGGAGACGAATCATCGGAGTCTGGGGTCCCTGGTGCTCACTGAGCTGGGTGGTTTTCTTGCAGACGTTTCATGACCCAACTAGGTGACGTCATTAGTGCTGGAAGGGGATGGGGATTGAGGAGGAGGAGGAGGAGGTGGTGGTGGTGGTGGAGGAGGAGGAGGAGGAGAACTGTGGGGTCCTTGCTGCTATCTGAGCTTGGTGATTTTCTTGCAGACATGTCATGATCCAACTGGGGGACAATATCAGTGCTAAAAGGGACTGGGATTTAGAAGGAGGAGGAGGAGGAGCAGGAGGAGGAGG